AACCCTTCCGGCGTCCCTTGCTAATTTGATATCAATCATTTGGTGCGAGCTAATTAAATCACGGATTAATCGTGCCATTATATTGTACATTGAAGTCAGTATCCCGGCTTTCCTGGGAATATCATTTTTATCGAAATACTGTATAAGATGATGCTCTATATTCAGATTTTTACTTCGACTAAAACGTTCGATTAGAATTAATTGCTTCTTATTTTCACGTGCGAGAGGTTTCTTTATGTGGTGGTCGAAAAATGTGCGCTCATTCCCACGATTTTTATCTCATCGGCTTATAAAACAGTTTTTGCTGCTGCGAATAAGTCGGAAGCATGACCTATAAGCATATTAAAATAAATAACGAGTTCAATTGTCAATGTAATGGAATGTCAATAAATCGTTATCTGATGAATTTTTCGGAGTGGCCCGGCTGTAACCACATTGCTTGCAATTTATATTTGACTTGAAATAAAATCAGTGAGCCTCAAATTGAAGTTATCTTTAGCATGCATGGCCTTTTTTCAAATAAAATATTGTCTTTTTAAAATCAATGTCAGCTTTTGGTCTTAACATTTACAAAAGAGTGATTGGCATTTAAATCACATTTTTGAGTCTCCAACGAACTTATTTTTTGCCTCGATCGAAAAACTGAAAAAAATGAGGCGCGTGTTGAAATATTTTTGGCGGATATTCACGTTAATTTCGCGGTAAACGACTTCGTATAAGAGTAACAGAATATTGTGAACTGATTTTCTGAGTGGATCATTAATTTGAGTGTCAGAGATATAGCGTGCGGAAAAAGCGTCGCGATGTATAGGTATTCTATTAATTTTATATATTTAAGAATGGAATTTTATACTGTACAGTAGTTGCAAGTGCATTTTCGCGGCTAAAACGGGTGTTTCAAAGAAGTTACTTGGGCGAATTAGTAAGTGTCTCTGCTCAGGGCCAGATTAAGGTGGGTGCTATTGATGCTGTAGCGTTATGCCCACCAGGCAGAGGCGGCCCTAGGGTTTGTGGGGCCTGGGGCAGAAATGTCAAATGCGGGGCCCCTTAAAAACACTCCCCTGCCAATTCTCAAACAGCATTTGAACTATGAAAAATAAGATTCATAGCAAAGTGAAGCTGCAAATGCAATTAAATTTCTTGGAAGCTATAAAAAGAACTTCTTCAAGTTTTAAAATAAACTTATAGAATTTTTCCAATTATTTGTACTAGGATCTCATACTTTTTTAAAGGTAGAATTGTTTGTTTTGGCTGGATTGGTTGTACATACAATTTTTTAAAATTTACTAACCAAAATTGCCATTGCAAATGAAATTACTGTACTATAATAACAATAATAATTACTGCAGAAAAGAAGTGCAGCTAATCAAAACTCAATGGTTCTCATCTTCCTGAAACCAAATTAAGCTGCTCAGCATTCATTTATCTTAACATTCTGCAGATTAAATACAATTTTTTGCATGTGAAATTCTGACAAATGAATCTGCC